TGTGCATAAACTTGTACTAACTAGACAAAGACCTAGTTATTTACTATTTTGTCAAGTCTTTTAAAAGGGCATGCCATACTCTTGTTCTTGTTATATACTCCGTACTTTGTTTCTGAAAAGTGAAAACCCACTTTCAAGAATAAGATAACTTTGTCAACAAACAAATTAAAATGTGGAGAGTAAAATTTGATTTGGCTCATACTTTATTAATTGTAGTTATCAATATCATCACCACACTACGCAAACACTGTGGGTGAAAATGTTGCTGCTAACGACCACAAAAAAATAGCTATTCCGGACAAATGCGGCAACGTCACGATATAGGAAATAAGTGCCACTACCATCACCCCGAAGACATCAATCGTAATCTCATACTTTTTCTTTTTCTTTTTCTTTTTCTTTTTTGTCTACTTGTATTACTTTTCACTAGTTTTCAGAGAAGACCTTGACTTAGTAATTTAAACACATACAATTCATTGCTCCTGTAGTCTTGTTATTCATAAATTATTACACTTTCACATAATTTCTTAACCAAAAATAATCGCAAAAATGTTGAAAGGAGACTTTGGTTGGCGTCAACACACTTTGCTAATTATTTTTGCTACCATAGTTTTAGCAATATTGCCTCTAACAAACTCCCAAATAGCCCTTCCTGGTTGTCCTGAAAAATGCGGCAACGTTACCATCCCCTATCCTTTCGGTATAGGTGATAAGTGCCACTACGATCATCCTAAAGACGGCTTTTACTACAGTATCACTTGCAACACCAGTAATACCCCGGTGGTTCCGACTTATGGTGATTATGTAGAGATAGAGAAGATCTCTGTAGATGGTGAATTTCGAGTACGTAACTATATTTCATCCATTTGTTATGATAAAAAGGGTGTAGAAACTTATAGTTCTACATCCTGGATTAGAATAACAAGATTTTCTCTTTCAACAACCCGGAACATTGCTGGGGCCATTGGTTGTGACACATTTTCACTCTTCTCTGGTACACGGATGGAAAGTACCAATATGTTTCAAACCGGGTGTGTGACCGTGTGCAGAAATCAAACAGATGTAAGTAATGAGTGTTCCGGGATTGGTTGTTGCCTAGCATCTATTCCAAATGGGATAACCAACATAACGCTAGGCGTTGCGAGTATTTATAAACATAGGGATGTGCAAAACTTCAACCCTTGCAGTATTGCATTTGTGGTGGCTAAAGATTATGTAGAAGAGAAGGGAACACCCTTCTCTATTGACTCTATACTAGCACAAGATGCCGTGTATTTAGGTACTTTACGTACACCCATGGTATATAATTGGTCTATTGGAACAAAAGATTGCAAAAGCGCGCTAGCAGCAAAGAATTGCCTATGCAAAGGAAATAGTACCTGCTTCGATGCCCCTGCAGATCAATGGGGATACCACTGCAAGTGTAACCTTGGTTTCGAGGGTAACCCCTACCTTCATGATTGTCAAGGTAATCCAACTAATCACACTCTCACTTTTGGTAACTGATAGAATATACAAATCGATTGTGGGCTTCAACCATCAGCTTATAATAAGCTTTTAGTTGAGTTGGTCTTTAAACATATTATCAGTTTATATACTCTTTCAGTAACACTCAATTTTGTTTGTATATTTACGGTATTTGTTTGACAATAATAGACTTAAATATGATCCGGTTGCCACCGGCCTTTGTATACATAGAAAATCATATTCTTTGACGGTTTCGTTTACATCCAGATATCGATGAATGCGCGAATAATAGCTCGAATTCATGTGAAAAACGAGAGTATTGTGTGAATGTCCCTGGAAGTTATAATTGTACATGTCCAGAGGGCTACTATGGCAAGGGTACAAAGGAGAATCCGTGTACTGTCATTGATAGCAATTCAGCAAGCAGGAAGAAACTATTACTGGCAATTAGAATAATCATTGGTGAGTAAATTTTCTAAGTCTTCTTTGTTCACCTATTATTTTTCTTTACTATTATCAAAGTATATAGCCAAGTTGAACACCAATTAACAAAATGTTAACATTGACCATTATACTAATACGTAGTATCACAGATTAATTATGTTTTTAGTAGAGTATATAAATTGAATCAAGGCTTCAACCAAAAACTTAATTTGGTGGTTGAAGTCCGAAATTAATTTATATATTCTATCAATTTTGTTTAATAATCACTTCGATTGACTAATTAAAAAGTGAAAGATAGAGTTTATGTAAATAATACTGAGTAAATTTTATTTGCTTAGGAAGATTAAAATGTACAAAAGTAATTTTAGACAAAAAATATCTTTTCCATCTTTATGGTATTGGTCCCTACTTTCACTGTTGATGTTACGCAGCTTCCCTTTATAAATGGGTTGATGTATACTCCATACTTACTCTTTCCAATTTTTTTAAATGCATTATTTTGATTTTTGCATTATTCATATGTCATGTTTGACTTAATTTTTTTGCTATTATAAAATAAATAAATATTATTATATAATATACATATCATAATATACATAGATTCATCACAATGTCTACTATCATAATATAATTTTGTAACAATTTTTATAAATAGACAATTAAAAATATTAATAGTCAAAGTTACATCTCGGCAAATATATCGGTAAAACTGATGCATTTAATAAAAATAAAAAAAAAATAAAAAAAATGAGAGAGAGAGAGAGTATATACAATTATAGACCCATTCAACCATAAAGGAAGGGCCAGACAAAGGCGATGTTAATTATTGTCTTATATACAGAGTAATTTTCTTTGTTATTAATTTTTTTGAAAGCTATTAATTTCAATATATTCCAAAACAATAGTTGTATATATGAGTCTCTACAACGATGTATAAAAGAATATTCTACAGATTTTTTTTTTTCCTTATGATTTAAAATTCATCACCAATTGCCAAGTTGCCGTTAAATTAGTTGACAAAACAAACAGGCTTACCAAGGTCAAGTTACGTTTTTTCATAGCAATATTTATGATGCTTTACTACAGAAAAGAGGGATTAATTAATTACCAACTAGGAACATAAAACAAAATTTCAAGTTGTATACATTAATTAACTCTTGGCCTTAATCATTGTTAACATTGTTTAGGTGTTGCTGGTGGCATCATTTTTTCTTTGCTGGTTATCTTTTGGTTTCATTGGCAACATGGAAACAAGAAGATTCAAAAACTAAGGGAGAAATGCTTTCATCAAAATGGTGGTCATATTTTACAACAAAAGCTTTCAGGACGAGACGTGTCAATTGGCAATGCGGTGAATATGTTCACGGATGAAGAACTGAAGAAGGCTACTGATAATTATAGTGAAGATAGCATAATTGGTCGCGGAGGTTTTGGCATGGTTTTCAAGGGAATACTACCTAATAAACAAGTAGTCGCCATCAAAAAGTCCCTCAAGGTAGATTCCACACAGGTTGAGCAATTTATAAACGAGGTTGTTGCCTTGTCACAAATCAACAACAAGAATGTGGTAAAGCTCTTAGGTTGTTGCTTGGAGACAGAGGTACCGTTGCTCGTTTATGAATTTATAAGTAATGGTACATTGCATGATCATTTGCATGATGAAGGAAAAATGTATTCTTTTACTTGGGATGTTCGCTTAAGAATTGCAGCAGAAGTTGCTGAGGTCTTGGCTTATTTGCATACTACAATTTCTACACCAATAATTCACAGGGATATTAAGTCTGCAAACATACTCTTAGATGATAAGTGCGTAGCAAAAGTTGCTGATTTTGGAGCTTCAAAGCTTGCACCGGCAGATCAAGAGCAGTTAGGAACTATGGTTCAAGGAACATGTGGTTATCTTGATCCAGAGTACATGCAAACTGGTGAGCTCACTGCCAAGAGCGATGTATATAGCTTTGGTGTTGTTCTTGTCGAGCTACTAACAAGAGAGAAGGCGATTTCTTATGCTAAGCCGGAAAATGAGAGAAGTCTTGCTGTATGCTTTCTTAGGAAATTTAAGGAAGATCGTTTGTCAGAGATTTTTGATGAAAAGATTGCAAGTGATGATGCAATCGAGCAGCTTAAGGAAGTTGCTAATCTTGCAAGAAGATGCCTGAAACTTAAAGGAGAGGATCGCCCAACAATGAAGGAGGTTGCAAGAGAGTTAGAAAGGATTAGATGTATGACTACTCATCCATGGTTGTCAAACGATAAAAGTGTGCAACTCCAAGAAGAGAGTGAATATCTGCTTGGTGAGGCGCATGATTTCAACAATGGCTATGGCAACGACAACATGAACTACTCATCAAGCAGTCAAAGTAGAGTTGTGCAGTTGGTGCCTTTGGATGATGGGAGATGAATACTTATGCTTGACCTCCCTACAATGGAATACTTGTTGGAGTTTATATATGTTTCCTTAAGTTTTGGAGGTTTGTTATTATCATATTGAATGTTAAATATGTTGTATAAATACTTCAAGCTTGTAATATTTTGAAATGACATATTATTGATTTCCTAATTTAATGAAACCTGCTACAATCTAAACAGCTTACAAACTTGTTAGCATAACACATGAGTTTGTTTAAATAGTCATCATAACTTAGAGGTCAACAAATCTTTTCAGGTGTATCATACGCATGGTACATATACATTTCCTTGAACTACAACTTTACACGTCCATTGATAGTATTTTTTTATATATAAATAATTTTTTTTTTCTAAAATTTAAGGAGATGATGGGCTAAAAAAAGTAGGGATTTTAGGAGGAAAATTGAAGGGTTTTAGGAGGGAATTATAAATTAGTGGCTATTATTTTAGTATAAGTTATTGTTTATTCAAGTTGGGTATGTTAAAAGAAGAAATAAATATGAGTAAAAAATATTTAATTGTGGTGTCGACTTCGAAACACCCAATAGTTATATTCTTACAAGCACGACAGTTTTAAACTAGTTTTGGTATAATTTCATCCCAAGTATATGCACAATTAATAATCCCTCCATTCCCCTTCATTTGCTTTAGAGGGTGTTGTCCCTACTTTAATTTTTGTTGAAAGGAGTTGATGAGAGAGAAAATGATGAAGCTAAATGGAATGACGGTGAGAGTAATTTGTGGTCATTCAAACCAAAAATAATATGGGACAAACTCAAAATAAGGCAAAGATTTAGAGACGAAGGGAGTAGCCGAGTAAGGCCAATAGGCAATAGCTAGTAGGCATTTGCGCTCGTGTTATTAAACCTTATCTTGAGCTCACTAACAAGCTCTACTTTCCCAGTCTCAGGGGGTTTAGGCAACAGATAATTCCAGCAAAACAGAGGAACTACCCAAAGCCAGGTTAATTTCATTGCTCTAATATAATTCGCATTCTATTATTTTAGTGTTAGATTCTCAATTTACAGTTTAATGTTGAGCTATTAATTGAATAAGCGAATTGGGGAAAAATTGTGGGAAAATTAGATAGGGTTTATGAATGCATATGCTGTAATTTAAATTAAATTTTTTTTTTAGGGAAACTATAATTTAGTTATGATATTTCAGTTTGGATTATTACGGAAGAAGTTTAAAAGAGTATAAATTTGTAATTTGTTTAATAATTATTATTTTAATTTTGATGGGGTTTGCTTAAATTGCCATAATATGGCTGCAGGGTAAATGGGTTTACAATATGCTGCTAGATTTCAGTACTCACCCTTGGCACTAGAAAGTAGCTTAAAGGTGTGCTCGATTTCGGGTGGTGATTTATCGCTATCAAAGAGACCCTTTGTTCAATTTGTGAGGAGGGAGGGGAGGTTTTGCCTTTCGTCGTCGAAACATCTAGCAATCTCTTTACCGGTTTGTTTCCTTACTGTGTTTATATAATCATAATGTTGTTAAATTTGAATATTGTATTGTTGTTATCAAGCTAATGAGAAAATCAGCGTTGTGATTTTAGAAGATGGAGATGTGGAATTGGTAGAAATGAGGACCAAGTGAAGTCTGGTGATGGGGATGGTCTCATGGATGAAGATGAGAGGCGCGAGTGGAGAAAAAAGATTTGGGATGTGATTGATAAGTATCCTAATGTTCAAGAAGAGCTTGATCCCGAGGAGAAGAGGAGGAAGATGGAGAAGCTTTTAGCTGAGTACCCCCTTGTTGTGGAGGAGGAAGATCCTGATTGGCCTGAGGATGCTGATGGAAGGGGTTTTGGTTTGGATCAATTCTTTAATAAGATTAGCATCAAGAATGTGAAGAAAAATGATGATGATGATGAGGATTATGATAGTGATAAGGAGATTGTGTGGCAGGACGATGATTATATTCGTCCTATTAAAGATGTTAGTCATGTTACCTTGGCAGAATGGGAGGAGATGGTGTTCAAGGATATCAGTCCTCTAATTATTTTGGTGCACAACCGCTATAAAAGGTTACCTTTCCATCTTTTTTCTTATATACCGTGGAATGCAGTTTTATGTCTTAATTTTGGTCAGATTAGAGGGTGCTATTTGCTTCTCAAGAATAATAATTTTATTAGATTTCCTCTCGACTACTTGGTGAAACTACATGAGGAAGTTCCTTACCATTGCATGCACTAAAAAATTTATCCTTCATTATTAATTGTATTGAGAGATGAACATAGAGATGCTTAGTTAGTTTAGACTTTAATTGATGTTGAAGCTAGCATGTTGTTTAAATTTTGTTGTACCATCTGCAATGACTAACCATCAGTGCTATCAGTATATAGAAGTGTGCTTTGTGACTGCTGAGTAATTTTAGTACTCAATCATCAAATAAATTTCTTGTCCTTTGTCCTTAACCTTGGTAATGGTAATTTGTTGCTTGCTCTTTTATATATTTTTTTCTCAGTAACTGAATCAGTGTCTTTATTTTTTTATGTTCGAGTAAAGAATCGAAAGTTTCAGCCTTGTATTATTATGCTCTGTGTTTTGCCTGTTTTTGTGGTAGTGGTTTTGAAAGGTTTAGTTGTTGTTGCCTATCAGTCATGATCTCATGAATATAGGCCACTGTAAGTGCACATATACGATTATGGTACTCATATTGTAAAGACAAATTGATATAACCTTTTTTATCATGAAAAAATGATTAAACTTCCAAACCTTTTGTTCATGGGATAATAATTTGGTCATTTGCTAGCTATGTTGCATGATTTTTCAGACCTAGAACGAGAAATGTAATATTGCTTTTAGTGCTCTTCTCTTTTTATGTAACAGCAGTAATTTAAACATCAACCTTCTATATCCTCATTTTTTGTCTGAATGCCTGCTTCACCTCAAAATTATCGTAGCAAACTGGCTAAACTTAAACACTCTCTTGCCTGTCCTGTATCTGAATATAAACATGTTTGCAGACCAAAAGCAAATGAACTATGTCGAGACGAGTTGGAGAGAGCTGTGAATATAATATGGAACTGCAGGTTACCATCGCCTAGGGTCAGTCTTCTGCTTCTTATGCTCTTCTTCTTTTATATGGATTTATCCACTTGAGCAAATCTGACAACTTACTTTACAAATTCCAGTGTGTTGCAATAGATGCAGTTGTAGATTGTGATCTGGTCTCTGCTTTAAAGGTGTCCAATTTCCCTGAGCTCATCTTCACAAAATCTGGGAAGATATTATATCGTGAGAAAGGTTATCATTCTTTTCTTTTTTGTTTATTCCCAAAAGAGTTTCCTTTCATTGCAATATTGCATTTTCCACTCTCCCATGACAGTGACTGTTATAACTTCTTTTCGGTTTTACAGCTATAAGACCAGCTGATGAATTGTCAAAGATCATGGCATATTTTTACTACGGTGCAGCAAAACCACCTTTTTTCAACGTTATGGAAAACATTGATGAAGCTGTTCCATCAGCTCCTATTAGCAATGAATCTTAGTAACACCGTCATGAAGGTAAAGATAGAAGTTTCTCTAGTTTCTCAGTCCTGTTGTATACAATGATGTGAAGCATGTTAGTTAGGATCAAGATACATTGTTACATGTAGTTAAATCTGTACTCTAGCACATGTGGTACCTCATCTCTCTTTGAAGTTGAAAATTAAAAGCAACAACTTTTCCAATATTTTCTCTCATTAATATTTTATTATTCTTATCTTCTATGCTTGCTGTATCTGGATTCTATTGTCTCTGGTATGAGGAAATTACATGCATTATCAGTGTTTTCCTTCTTTCTGCTATGAGTTATTAGTGGATGAATCAACTGTGTGATTTGTGCTATAATCAAAAGAATACAATATGAAAATCCGCAGAGGGAGTTATTGAATTCTAAGGTTGGCACACCTGGAGGTGGACCCCTTTGGTCTTCTGTGATTCTTCACCCATACTATATGTCATGATTGACTTTCATGAATTAATTCTAACAAATCTTGGAATTGACCTTTCCAGCTTTTCTTAGCGGGACTCTTGTGTTAGGCACCTGGTTGGGGGTGTGATAGACTTTGGTTTCCTCTAAATCCCCTGTTATTCTGTTATTGCATCATTGTTGGGGGGAGAGGCTGTCATGAATAATACTTGTATGAGTTATGTAGATTAGTGTGAATCTTACTGTAATTCATGCAAATAATGCCACATGTGATTAGCAATGGAGAGTGATGCATATTAGATGGTTGGTCAACTAACATTGATCAAGAAAAACCACCTCCCTGATTAAATTACCATGCTTAATGATTATCTTGAGTTGGCCCGAGCGGCACACTGTACTTGTTTCGGAAGAAAATGATGGATTCAACTGCTATATTTGGCAGATTGGTAGGTACCAATTAGCATATTTTAGGATCTCTAGATTCCTAGTAGGTGAAAGCTGTAAAATATTATCACCTAGCTACAATAGGTAACTGGTAGAAGCTCGAGAAGTAACAAAGACTTGGGATCAAATGTTGTCCGTACTGTCAGTCTTTGTATCTTGCACGGAAAAAAGTCCACGTGTTTTTCTGATTGAAACAATATCCTTCACATTAATTTAGTCACTTTCAAGACTACTTGATAGTTTGAATTGATGCAGGAAGGAATTATTCCTTAGAATATGCTTTTGTTTTTTCCTATGTTAGCTTACCAATAACCATATATACAGACTCATAACTCATGCTAAAAGGCCATTTTCTTTTCTCTGTTATATTGTCTGAAACCTTGTATTATGCAAATGGCGAATTACTTTTTTTCGCAGGAGATGAATATGTTTTGTTTATGGTCCTCTAACCATGAAGTCATTTTCTATATATGTTGGGTATATTAGAATATGGTTAAAGTGATTAGATGACCATCAACAAACATGTTCATATCATTGCACTTGCCTACAAATTATATCACTCTCAAGATCCATAAAGCAAGATGCTGCATATTACATCGCTCTCAAATTTTACAAGCAAGTGGCACTGATTTCCAAAATCCAATGATCCTATACAAGGAATTTTCTTTCCTTCTCTTTCAATAATACACCTAGGGCCTATGTGATTGTTCTATGTGATCGATGGATCAGTCCAATTTGGTTTTTGTGTCGGGCTAGGTAGGGCAGAGGAACCAGAACCGACCTACGAAGTTAACGGGATGAGAGGTAGGCCGGTCCAGGTGGGCTGCTTTATTTCTGGAAAATAGGGTTATAATTATAAATGACCACGAGCCACCTACTTGATTTTTTACTGAACAAGGATGAAGCTTGTTAAATTTTACAAGTTGGAACTAATAAAACCCTAAGATTGAGTGGTTGAACCGTAAAAAAAAAAAAAATTAAAAAAAAAATGGAGAAGCCTTACTCCTATAATTTTTTTGGCAATTATTGTATACACGATTGATTCGACCAGACTATGAAAAGTTAGTCGATTTAACCCTATTCATTTTTCACAAATACCAAAACCACAAATAAACATCTAAACTTCTGGATGGCATTTTATACATCCTTTCCTCATTTTTTTTTTTTCCTTTTTGAAAGGCTTCCCTCATCTTTTAAGAAGGTTGGAAATGGGATTTAAATCTTGCTTTGCAAAATAAAATAAAAGGGAAACATAAAACAAGGGTACTAATCCTCTTTCCCTTTCTTGTAGACCCCTAATTAACTAAGTGGCCCCTAAAAATACCACAAAGCAACACCTTAAGCAAACCAAAGCAGAAAGGAAGATAACCAACCGCCAACAATTGAAAAGACTTCAAACTTAAAAGCGATCACTCATTCACTTTTTGCTGGTAGACTAACATCTTCAAAGTTGGCACAAACTATAGCCACGATGAAATTTTTAACACAGTTGAAGCAAATCATGCAAAATACGAGTGAAATGTAGAAACTTTCATCATCACAACATACAATTCAATAAGACACTTAGGAATCTTGTTAATGGACCAACTCAATCAAAAGCTTAAGTTGATGGATAAAGTTTAGGAATATCCGAATATGTTTTATACTCTATCACGCCCCTCACATGAGAGCCTTTTGGGATTGAAATGTGGATGCAGCATGAGCCCTCCGCATACCCTGCGCGAAATATTCCACTTAAAAGTGGGGGTGGATGAGATGACCTTTATTTCACGCTGCCTCTGATATTATATTAACGGACCAATTCAACCAAAAGCTTAAGGTGATGGTTGAAGCATAGGAATATGTTTTATATTCCATCAAATCTGCTCAACACGAAATCTGTACTAAAAAGAATCATTATTAACATCTAGCAGACAGATAGTCCATTTAGAGTATATAACAATAAATAACGAGAACACTAAGGGTTTAAAGAAATTAAATATGTACTTGCCCATATGATGGATGTACACAAGCACCCAACAAGTTAAGCCTATAACCGTTCGGAAATTCTGGTTATATTACTTCTTCTGTTTTTTTAATATTGCACCATTTGCCTTTTAAGGAAATTTCACAAATATTGCACCATATCCATTTTAGGAAAAGAAATATTTGTGTTCAAACTACAAATACTAATATGCCCTTACTTTTCAACACTTACTTTTTATTTTGTGTATACAATCACATGGGCAACTTTGTATTTCTACCTTTCTCTTTTTTCCTTTTTTCCACTTCCAAAATTTTTGCCAAACCCTTATGGTGTAAAAATAGGGATGGAAATCTAGTCCGAATCCGACCCTACTCCACCCCGATTCGAGGAAAATAATTTGCTTCGAGTTCGAGAAAAAAGTAATCGGAGTCCGACTTCGTTAATATAATCCGACTCCCAGTCGGAGGAGGATCGGAGTCGGATCCTACAAAAAATCCGAGAAAAAAATCCGAAAATGTTCAACTCTAACGGATTATCTGACTCTGACTCTGATGGATCGTGGATTTGGGGAGGGTAGCGGTGGCAATGGGTGTGGGCTGCAAAGGCCCAAATAGCCTAATTTCTCAAATTGTATTGAATAACTTAATAAAACTCGGAGTCGGAGTCGGAGGCTGGATTTTAAAGTCGAATCAGAGTCGGATTCGGAGTCAGATTTAGCCTCCGACTTCTTGTAGGGTCGAAGTCGAATTTAGCATAATCCGCTCCGAGTCCGACCCGTTACCATTCCTACTTACAACCACACAACTACGCTAGTTACATTTGTAACGTTGGAATATGTATTATTACCTATTCCAAATTGATTTCTTGTTTACTTTTGATAGTTTTTCTAAAAGACAATATACATTGAATTTGAATATCTCTAAAAAAAAAAAAAAAAATTGATTATTTTTCTATAAGACAATATCTGTAAGACGTTAACTATTCAAGAGAAAAGTAGATTATGGCAAGGACGAGTTCAGAAAAGTCAAGCATATGTGCTCAAATATAAAAAGACCAAAGTCGTCTCTAGTTAGAAATTTTAAAAACATATCTGGTTTGGAATAAATGTACATACATAACATCAACATAATAGATGTCAAAATAAAAAAAAAAAACAACATAATAATAAGGATTAATAACTAGATACAAGAAAACCTCGCTTGAACTAATTGTTACTAATCAATTATAGTTTAAGGCAAATTGCACATAAAGTTAATTCTGATGACATAGTTCTTTTGAGTGGCTGCTTTGAAAAAGTCTTCTTATGGTGATATCTTAGACCTATTATTGAGCGACTTCTGTTATTCTATAATTGTGATCAAGGGACGGGGGGACTCCTCCATAAATGTGTTTCATGCCCCCTAAAAAAAGACGACCTTATCCTTTTGATAGATTAATCTGCTAGTTTGCATGTTTGGTAAACTTAAAGGAGGCACGACCATCAAAACAAATCAATCAATCAATAACTTAATACTAAAAGCGAAATCAGTGATATTATGTTATCCACTGGTTGAAAATTTTTCCTCCACTTTACTTTGACAATTATATATTTTCCATACACACAACACACTCAAATGAAATATTTGTATACGTATGTATATATTTTACATTAAGTAATTTTGGTATAAAAATGAGCGTAAATAAAGAGTATATTAGGATACTATAGTTCTTTTTTATATACAGAATATACGGAGTAATTGTTAAATTAATGTTGTACTTCGCTATATAATTTAGTAGAACTCGTGCATTGCACAGAATTTTAACTAGTAAATCAATAAAATAAAACAAGAAACACAATAGCTATTGGCATCCATTGAAATATACTAAAAAACGCCAATAATCCAAACTTTTGAGAATGAGAGGTTTGTAATTGTGCATAATAACATGTGATGTTACTAGTTAGTCATTTGAAGTAGCTGACCAAAGACCAAAGTTTGTTTCTAGGTGAATTCTTCACCAAATAAAAATAAAACCGCCCAACCCATAAACAAATTGGAAAAAAAAAACAAACTAAAATTATTGCAAGCCAAGCAAACATGTCTTATTCAACTAATCTTAATCATTCTATATTACAATCATTTTCCCACTAATCAATTACATTAATTCATGATCATGACTTAATAATTGATGATATGTACAATTTTTTAACCCTCTTTTTTTCTTTAAAAAAAGGTTGAAATTTTAAATACAATTGTGGAACAAATCAAACCATTGCTTATAATTATTACACAATTCCAAAAAACAAAAAATAAAAATAAAATTACATACCACCTGTTAAGCAAGAAAACATTCTATGACTTCTATATCTCTTCATAATTTGCTTAGGAGGAGAGCTAGAATTCCTACCAACACCATACACTTCATTATCATGATCATAGTTGAAGTTATACCCATACTCGCCGGTAGACCCATACCGTCGATGCCCATGGCTTCTTCCATCGAACACGCCCCCGCTAGGCTCCGACCTAGTAACAACATCATACGTTGCACCTTGATCATGATCATGTTCATTACCATAATCATAAAAATCAGCTATGTTGTACGTTTGTGCAGCTCCTACAGAAAGACACCGGTATTGCCTACGAACCTTGTTTCGCTTAATGACCTTATACACCATAGGAATTAATCCCTCCATCTTTCGAAACGTCGATTTTGTGAATTTCTAAGGTAAGAAGAAGAAGGGAGGTTGTGCTTTGAGGCTAAGGAGTTTGAGGTTTCTTTTGCATTGTGTTTTGGTTTTGTTGGGAGGGTTTGGTGAGTATTCCATTATAAAGACGTTTATTTGACTTAGATGTTATGCTAAGAGATCAATATTGAATTTTTAAAATATATATATATTTGAATTGAAAGCGAACTCACAAATATATACAAGTATACAATAATTGATTGGAATAATATTATGCAAATTTTTTATTTTGGTTGGATTGATTATCAAATGAGCCAACTGGCTTGGACTAATATTTTGTTATGTTATGGTCAGATTTATGCAAGGTACATGGCTATTTTTTTATAATATTATGAGCATAAATGGTAACGAATATATTTTATGCTATGTATTTAAAATTTTATTAGTGGTGGAAGGCTTGTAACGAGTATATAAGGTCTTCAAATAAATAAATTGCATGTCCTATTAATAGTGGCATAAGAATCATTCAAATCAGGTATTGTGTGGTTTAATTTTGGTTTTTAATCATGTTCAGGTGATAATTACATTAGTCAAATTATAGTACTTCCTCCGTTTCTAAAAGTTCGATTTACTTTGCATTTGAGCATTCTCTAATGAACATCTTTGACCATGCATGAATATTTTCGGATATTCAACATATAAAATGTGCTTTGGAATGCGCAATTCCATGATTGTTGCAATGAACATAGGAAATAATAAAGCTAAAAAAGTGGTTTTAGAAATTTGGATATTAATTTAGTGAAATAAATAAAAACTAAAGTGACATGAAAATGTGGCATGTTTTGGATGATTTGCTACACGACCCAATAAAATTTACACGCTTGGAATTCAGTTGCTCCAAATATATGTTATTCATCGAGCAAGTCTTAGTTCATTTCAAGTGGTAAAATTGTGAATAAATCAACAATTTTGTCCAGTCAGCATGACAGTTTTGTAAATTAATCAACAACTGTGGACTACATATTTAATTAAAAGTTGTTGATTTATTTACATATTTGTCACTTAATAAACAAAATTTGTTCATCAAAGAGATAAAGTATTTTGTCTTATTCATCATTGACCAAGAATCATCACAGCACAGATGACAAAATAATATTGGATCATTCAATATATATACTCATTTTCTTCTTGGAACCTTCGGAAATTAAAAGTGTTGCTCTTGCTACAAGCTAAGGCACCTTTTTTCTTTCCATCCACACGCAAATGATGTGGGTTTGATTGCTCATCCTTACTAGAGCTAGAATGTTCATTAATTATACAGTCGGTTGTAAAATTATGCTCTTTTACATTATCTTTTCTACTATACGCCTTTATACTCTCCAGTATTAGATGGAAGTTATGCATCTTCACACAGTACTACAGTAGTATGATCCTCTCGCAATTCAATTTTTTCCATTCTGTCATTTGTGACAATTATTATAATTTGGAGAGTACATTAGAGACATGAGTCACTCTTAATTTTTTTTTTTTTTTTTTCTATTACTCTGACATTTTCATTTTGACAATCATACCTGTTATCAAATTTGGGGTTACATTTTTTTATATTATTCTTAGTACAAGGCATCTAAATATATGAGACAGCTCGATCCCTATCAATATGTAGGGAAATTTCCTGTTTCTCATAGTGAGAAACGAAATTTGTTTCTCATGGGGGTATTTTCGTGAATAAATCAACAACTTTTTTCATTATCGTGGACTCCGTATTACAAAATATTAAGATAAAGATAAAGATAAATACATTGGTAAGTAAGTAGGTTAAATGGGAAGTATTATGCTTAAATCAAAATTTCACTACATTGATCAATGTGTGATTTTGTCATCAAATCCTTATCCAATTCTTTTCCTAAATTAAGGACATGTTTTGTTGACCATATTTTCATTTATTTCAGGTTTAATAAGTTCAGATAAAATAAGTTTGAGAAAAACAAATTTTGATAAGATTTACTCAAGTTTACAACTAAACTAAGTTTTAATAAGTTATAGGAATTTCAAGTAAGTTCAAATAAGAAAAAAAATAAGTGAATAAAACACATTTTAATACTTGTAAATAGTATAATTTTGAGCAAATATTTAATTCTTACAGTCAAATATAAGCGTTGCCTATAGCATAATCATTATAATAAAGAACTTCTCTTTAGTTGGGAGAAGAGGATTGGTTAGTTCAGATAATAATGAAAACAGCATGCCAACTAAAATGTATGACATAGTTTCTTGTCAATCTAGAAGACTTATCTGTTATTAGGATAGTTATAGTAGTAAAGTTAAATTTATACGGAGTAGTAATATGCTTCGTTTATGTATATCTTTCATTTTGGTAGACTTCGTCTTAGAGGTTTAGTATGGTTAGCCAACTGGCCAATTATAAATTATTTTCCCGTTGAAATTAAAGGGGCATAAAACACGCCATTTTATTTCATTTTCTTAAGTAGCAAAATGTCAATCATGAACCGGTGAGCGGAAGTTTCGTCTCATAACATATACTGTATTGATTTCATGTACAAGAAACGATTATACTTCATGACAACTAATTTAGTTGGTAAACTTGTGATCTTTTCATTCAAATGCATTGAGACTCTGAGAACTAAGTGCAAACTGTAAAATAGAATTTGCACGAAAATTTATGGTTGCAAATTTATCGCTCTATGTAAATCAAAGTATAAAAATAGATTTATCGATTTTTTACTTTGAAAAAGTCTAGATTATACTTCTTTCGTTCTTTTAACTTAATTTGTTTCTTTTATTACACTTGTTGATGCACAACATTAATCATTAATAACTATAATTCTCTATAAGTAAAAATTATAAAAGTTATATATTGTGATAGTATTTATTTAGACAATTCGTGAACATGTTTTTCCTTACATATAATTCACAGAAAATGGTTAAAGGTGAAGTGGTGAATAATGTGAAAGTCAAAGCGGGTCAAATGAAAAAAACGAAGGAAGTGATAAATCAGAGCAAAACGGATTATTATGGCTGCTTTGATTCTTTGATGGATGAAAGAAAAGTACACGCAACACATGTTTATATAGAGATTAAGATGTAAACTTGATCTAATCCAAACTTAACAGATTAAAAATTTATGACGACAATAGAAACTTCGTGATGTTCCTGTCTTCCCATAAATAGTACTGGGGACTAGGGGAGTAACGAGTAATGTTGGTACGTAATCAACTACTTGTAAATTTGTAATGTCGACTTTACAGTGGTTTTTTTTTTTTTTTTTTTTTTTTTTTTTTTTTTTTTGAGGAAACAGTGGTTTTTATTTAGTGCTGTACTTATTTTTGAGTCATTATCTTTACTTTCTTAGGCTGAGATTTTATCAAGATTAAAATTCTATTATTCTTTGATAGATAGGTTAATTCATAAAAGGTATGATAGTGATATTTTTTGTGATTTATAGAGTAATATCCTTGCTTTAAAAGAATTGTGCATGTACTTCAGTTTTATACGAGTACAATACACTTTTGTTTGATTTAAAAAAATTGTGTTTACGACAACGTATATGATGTTGTATGGTCATATACTCATATGAAACCATAATATTCAAATAAAAAGTAAAAAATAAAAAATAAAAAATAAAAAAATAGATTTTTCTAAGCTATGTCTTCGTGGTTATTGAGTTTCTAAGATGTACCCATGCTTTTTCAAAATTACAAGATGTACCCTCCAATTCAAAGTGTTTATTCAACCGTACCCTATAACGTTAATCCAACGTTAGTAGTTGTGTTAACGGTTTATTATCACACTTTGGAGAGAAATTTCACGGCCAAATTGAGTTAGAGTTATTTAAGTAGGTTAACATGTAACATTTTTTTCCAAATTTTCTCATCTATTTTTTCTTCTTTCTTCTAAAAGCAACCATTGATATGTCAAGCTCTCGGTGTATTTCTTATTCTTTTTTCTCATCCGCTTCTTATTACTTCCTATTTATTTACAATTGTTTACGTCAGAGGGTACGGTTGATTAAACAACTTAAGTTGGAGGGCATAACTTGTATTTAAAAAAAAAATGGGCACATCTTAGAAACTAAACAACCATAGTGACGTTACAAGATGGAGAGATCGATCAGCACTTGCGTGCGTATGTTAAAGCAAGGAAGCTAAAGACATTAGTTTATTGGTCAATCTAAGACTCAAGATCAAATCACATAAGGACTATGTAAATTCCAAATTTAAAATACTACCCATTGAATATAAACTAATATTTGAGATAAACTTGATTATGTAAGTTTGACAATGGCATAGTTGACCACATATCCATTCATTTAAATATATAATTAGCAGCACTAATGTCATTAGGAAGTTGATAGGCTAGATTATGCAAGCTTGATCGAGATATGAAGCAATTAATAGAACATTGATTCAATCAATGAGTTGACATTCAATCAATGAGTTGACAACACTGAATATTAAATTGGAGAAACTACCATCCTTGTACTCTTCAACTTAAACAAGTAATATTCTCTTTTAACATTTGATAACATCCAATAGCTATATAGTATTAGTGCTATGTACTAGTGTACCACCACCCTTCAAACCGGTAACAAATGGTATAAAAATACTACCTTCGTTGGCAATAAAGGGGTAGTATGAACTCCTAGGCAAAACTTTTAAAGCATGATTATTGAAAAATAAGGGCACTTGATTAAGTATAAATCCTACCTAAAAATAAAAAAAATAAATAAAAAAAAAACAATTAAACAAAAACCCATAACCACCAAAACCCAGAACCACCACCAAAACCACTGAAACCCAGGCGAAACCACCAAAACCCAACCAGGAACCCAACAAACCACCCACGAACCCAACAAACCACCACGCACCAGCCAAAACCACCACGAAACCCAATTAAATCGGAACCACCACGAATTGAATTACTCCCAATTAAGCCACCACCACGAAACCAGATCTGAAACCCCTAAAACTACCCCACGAAACTCACGCCACCCCCACAAACCAGGTCTGAAACCCATCCCCACGAAACCCGCGCCACCCCCATGAACCAGATATGAAACCCCTAAAACCACCCCCACGAACTCGAACCCACGAACCAAACAAACTCAAATCCACGAACTCGAACCCACGTTCAAACGAATCCAAACCCAAATCGCAATAGGAGTGAGAAGGGGGAAGATGAACCAAAATGTAGGATTAGGGTTTAAATTCTGGATATTTCAATTGAAGAAGGGTTAGGGAGATGAATGATTCTGATAAAGATGAATGATTTTTGGTGAAAATGATTACAATAATCACATTCATCATGAAAAAAGTTAAATTAGGTTAATAACTTAATTAGATGTCTAAGTTGTTTAAGTAAGGGTAATATGGTTATTTTGTTGGCAAAAAGTTACTAAAAGTGGAAAGAAAAAAATTGTTGCACATAATAAATAGCAACCGAAAATGGCAAATATTGAAAATAACGGTTAATGGAGATAGTATATAAATAAAATGGTACGAGTACTACTAAAAACAAGCTTACCAAAGACGTTGACATCAAACTTTCCTTGCAAATTAACCACTACCACTATTTATTACCACCTACTAAATGAGCGATTAGAATTAATATAAAATTACAAAGCACACACTCTAAAAGACAAGCACGTTAAAATGTAAAGATGTACTAGGGTACTCAAAATTTGGTGAAGGTATTTCCATGAGAGGAAAAAAAAGAGGCAGTACAAAAATTTTACAGATTTTTGAGCTATAGAACTGACCTTTGAAAACTTATAACCTTGGAAGTTCAAAGTCCAGCGAATGAACAATGAAAACAAATCGGGGTATCGAATTAGCAGGAGATCATTTGTATGTTGACTTGCAACAATAAACCCAAAATTGTGCCCAAAGAGTATTAAAATTGTCTTTCTCAATAGTGTTTCTGCGTTCAGCAATCACTTGCTTTTGTCCTTTTCATATAAGCCTGCCCACATCCTTAGCACTCATTCCCAAAATCGGTGCACTGATTGATTCTGCAAGCGGAAACTCCTCATGAATGCACATCGTGTCTCCCGTGTCTATCAGAAGACAGCCCTCCATACAAAATAGAAGCTTGGCCTTATCAAACGCATTTCAGTCTAGCAAAGGTCAGATAGCCTGTGTGTCCTCTTCCTTCGCTGCATGGCTTAGCCATGACTGTTGCGGCACCAGAAGCTTCCACTGCATCGCCTTTTTCAGTTGAATGTTGTCTTTTCTTGTGAGGTGGTGATCTAAAGGAGAAACCCTCATCTCCTTTACCAAGTTCAGCTCTTACTTCTTTAACTTCGTATGTTCGAAGGAGTATCTCAAACGTTCTTATATCTATGAGTAGGAAACTAATCTTAATGAAAGGGAAAAGATTATAACAATTTTGAAACTATATCAAGTTAACAGATAAACCTACCTGTAAACTTCAATGCGAGAGTTTCACATGATCGTTGTACTTGCTCGATGCAAGGCGAAAATGAGCACATAATCCCATCTGGTTTCAACATCTTTCCGGCTGACGGGATTGCAAGCCAAGGTTGAGGCAAATCTAAGAAAACAGCATCAGCCTGTCCTAAATGTTCATCGGGAAATCCCTCACCCTGAATATCTCGAACTCCTACTGTAATTAACTTGTTCACTCCTGTCTTCTCAAAGTCTTCCCTGTCACATGAAATCAAACAGTGAGAAGCTATTTCGTGAGTGACCATGCCAAAAGAACAAAAATAAATCAACTAAGAAAAAAAAAAAACTTTGCATAACGTACTTGAGTACTACAACAGCTGCAATATCTTATTTGCAGTTCTTTTTCTTTATATGTACTCAAAATTATTTTTATTATTATTATTATTGATAAAAGTATAAAACTTCACTAGCCAAACTTTAAATAACCCTATATACAGCAAACGTAACCTAATTTACAGACTCCAATGAAGAGTTCTTTCAATGGCTAACTTCCACAAATGGGACATAAGCATAGTTAGAGAACATCATAGAAATCCCCTTCTTCCATGTAAGCATGAGTCAAAAGTACAAAAGAAAAAGGAGCAACACTCCCGCCTCCCCCCTCCCCCCAGCAACACAAGAAATAGAACAGTTATTAAGGTGTAATGTACAATAGCCATCACCAACTACAGCTTTACCTCAGTCGATCACCACAATTTTTACATCCATATACTAATGCTCCACTTGTGTTGATTGAAAACATTTTTCAGGAAAATCATTTTCTAAAGAAAACAATTTTCAGCGGAAAACAGGTTTGTAAAAAAGATTTTCATAAAAAGAAAAATGGGAGTAAAAGAGAGGGAAAGATAGAGGAAAGGAAATAGAAAGCAAGGAGTTCGAGGAAAATGTGGCATGGTTTTCCTTCTCTTGTAAGAAACTTTTCAGATATGGGAAGATTGGTTTCCACCCTTTAACAAAGAAACAAAGGAGAATGGAGAACTTGAGGAAAATCATTTTCCATGAAAATGTTTTCCACCAAAACAAACGGAGCCTAAAAGCAAAAAGAAGAAAACATAGAACCTTGAGCTCAGCCACAGAGTAAATGTTCAGGTGCACAAGCTCAACAATCATTTAAAATTTGAGTTTGCCATACCATTCAAGATAATCTAAGGAGCAAATTGTAATTCCAGCGATACTTCTATCAGGAACGCAACTACAATTCAAGATAATTAACTAAATTTAATTAATTAATTAAACAATTCATTTGAAGGCAAACTTACCTAGCTGAAGCAGCCCTTTGCTCATGGAAATCAAATGTATACACATGACCTATCGGTGCCACAGCCCTGGCAAGTGAAGTCGTGAGAGAGCCGCTGCCTGTACCAGACTCCAGGACGACACATCCCGGAACTATTTCCAAGTACATAACTATGAAGCTAATATCCGCTATGTACAAAATCTGAGTCCTGTGGCTTAAAACCAATGTCCACAATTCTGGAGTTGGTGCCAACAAGTAAACGAACCCCTTTTTGTGGCTGAAGACTTTGGACCCAAATGGCTTACCAATCCAATCAGAGTGTTTAAACACTCCAAACCGGTTTTGCAGGACTGAGCCTCCAATTACCTTGACAGCTTTCATGTGGTCATGGCGTTCATAGACTATTACTAGGTCTCCCTCTTGGATTCGACGTAGGAGAGAGAGTCTTTCCGATGGGTCTGATGGTATCATGGTGCAGCAGTTTCCTTACTGTTAATAAACCAGTAATTAATAGGTGCCGAAAAACATTATTATCTAATTTTCCACAATGTATAACACTAATTATCTCCAGCTACGCAGCAAACAATCAAACAATATACATTGCTTCAAACAAATTCTGAATTCTGTAAATAACTTGCATTGTAAACACAACTTAACTTCCAATTCAGTATGTTTATAAAGAAGAACTTTAAAGCTATCAAAGCTTATAGTCTAATAACTGGAGTACAAGTTTTAGCATGAAGTCAACTTATAACCTTCAAAACGGCAAATCTAGCATAGCCAACAACAGGACAGCAAAAACTTAAAATTCAAACTTTTTCCATCCTAATTACCTACTCCCTCCGTATAAGAATAAGTGCATCACTTTGACTTTTGCTCTATTCGCTTACTTATTTCGACTCGATTTTTTACTAATATCTAATAACCAAATGTTATTCAATTATTAAATTAGGCTCATAATTACTAATTTCATAGTTCAATCCTAAAATTAAAGGGTTCTACAACAAATTAGCAACCAAATTTGATTCATTATTGAATAAGGCTAATAACTTTGTTTCTCGTTAGTAATTATAACCAACAGTTCAAATATTCGAACCTTCAATTCACTTCACTATACTGACAATCAAATTAAATTAGAAACCCTAAATTGTGAAATTGATATGACGATTACAAAAGAAACAAGAAGTTACCTAAGAAGCTGCTTCAATGGAGGATTGAAATATCAGAAGGCTCCTCAATGGAGAACGCGAGGAGTGCGCTTCAATGGGAAACTGAGAGTGAGAGAGAGGACAAGTAGGGCTACATTCTTCCGTTTCCTTTTTCTTTTTCGAGTTTTTCTACGTGCCCCAATTTATATCACTTTCTAAATTGTAATTCCATTATATATTTTGTTTCCATACGTTAACCTTGCCGTTATTCTGCCGTTAAAAAATTCCGTCAATGGGGCCCACCCTCCATTTATTAATATTTTATTATCGATTTGCGCATTGGAAAACCTTCTGTTAAAGGTTTTGGGGGCTATTTCAGTTCTTAAGGGTCCAAATTGAGCTCAGATTTCACAAAAAAGCAACGTAAATGCCTCGTGTTGCGTATTAAAACGTGAAAATGTAAATCGAGACATATTTTAATAAGCAAAACGAGGCATTTAAGTTATTTTTTTGCCAAATTTGAGCTCAATTTGAAACCTTGATGAATAAAATAGCCCCCTAAACCTTTAACCGAAGGTTTTTCAACGCACAAATCGATAAAAAAATATTAATAAATGGAGAGTGGGCCCCATTAACGGAATTTTTTAACGGCGGGATAACAGCAATGTTACCGTATGGAAACAAAATGTATTTGGGGTTACAGTATAGAAAGTGATATAAGTTGGGGCACAACGTAGAAAAGTGAAATTAACAAGGTTACTGTATAGAAAATCCCCCCCCCCTTTTTTGGGAACAAAATATTATCCATTAAATTAAATTAGCCTGCACACACGGAATCTTTTAGGACTTTTGATGACTCATGTTTTTACTTCCTCCATTTCTTTGAAATTAGGAAAATTTGTCTAGAACTACTCTAAAGATAGGGTCATTTGTGAACTACCTTTTTTTTTTTATTTGTTTAGAACTGCCTGAAAGTTATGAAGCATTTGGGTAGCACTACCTAATAGCGTTTTTCGTCCAATTTAGACGTTAATGGGGCTCACTTTTTCACTTTTTCCACCTAATTAATCCCCCAAACTACCTTCCCTCCTCCTCTCTGTAGATAATTTAGAGTGTCGGAGTGGAGCGCCCGCGCCACTGTTCAGCGTGCCCACGCAAGGTGGCGCGGCCCGCGATAAAAGCGCGTCAAAATCCCGCTAAGTTTCTGGAAACTTGCAAATTTTGGCAGAATTGGGGAGGCGCGTCGGCGCCTCTTTGGGTCGCGCCCGCGCTGCTTCCCTCGATTGCGGGTTTTTGCTGTTATTTCCTTTTAATTAAAGGAGTTTTCGTGTTTGGAGGAGAACAAGAGTTTTTCCTCTCCTCTCCAATATTCTCTCTTCTCCACAATTTACTTGAAGAAACTTGCAATCTCTTCATCTAATCCTCTATTAATTAAGTTTGTTTTTGAGAATTTGATCATCTTACTACAATTCTTAGTGCAAAGATTGTAGTGTTTGTCTATTGTATCTAGTGGCGGATCCCGAATTCGATTAATAGGTTGTCCCATCATCGTCCATCGACCGCATATAATATCAAAAAATAGTCAAAGCTTGTATAATAGTCAAAGCTTGTATCATCGTCCATCGACTTAGTACTATACAAAACCTGAACTCTAAACCAAATCCCTGAAAAATCTCAACCAAAATGTTCAACAATCAACACAAACTTGAATACACCTTTTTTGGGGTCTATGTCAATGCAAATCTACTTCCCTTGTACGGTATACATGGTCTCATGACAATTAATCAATGTTTGTTCAAACAAATCTCAGTGCTATAAAACTCCAAGTTACCAGCAAATATTCTACCTCAAAGCTCAGAAAGTCAAAAGCATTCATATCTATAAACATCATTTTCTATGGATGGCAAGCATTACCATTTGAACTAACGTGATTTAAATGAACTCTATAAGACACCCCCATACAGTCATAGGAGAATTGTGCATAAGTCACTGAACAATGCTACCAAGACAAAGTTCACCCCTATTGGCCCTATTCAATCATCAACAGTCACCAATCCTTGATCAATTACCCATTAAACTATAAAAATAACCCCTTTACACACATCTAATGCTAGGACTGCTCATAAATTAATTAGGAAGCTCAATTCAGCAAGCTATAGTTCATGTCAACTTACAATAAAAAACTCAGAAAAATAATCAAATCTAAGTAATAAAGGATGCTCTAGAAATGAGTCAATGCTAGTGAGTTTCTCAAAAGTGGGAACTCAGCGAGCACTACATTGTTATTAATTTGCCTTTCTTAGTGCCCATGGCCTCACACAAATGCCACTCTATTTCTTAATATCTTCAAATCTCTGGAGCGTTCATCTCAAATTAAACCAGAAAATAAACATTAAGTTATTTTGTCTCAGGTAATCGTAATCGTACAGGGCTAAAGTAAACATTGCCCTCCTACATATCCAATCAGAGACTAAAAACTTCTTACCATAAATAAAGCTAGGTTCTGATCGAGCTTCTTCTACAATAAGACTCCAAGCAAAAGCACAACTGCAACTGCAACTATCTCAATTAAGAGCTACTTAATATTCAGGTCTTAATTGGGTATGTTTCTGGCCCCTGCTTCTACAAAGAAGGCAGTCAGATGAGATATACCAGAACACTAAACTTCTCATAAGTTCATTCGTTTATTTCACTAACATTTTCATTTTACAAGTTCATCCAACATGAGTTACATAACCCAGTGAGTGCAAAGGGAAACACAAGTTATGAGGAAAGGAACAAAAAGAATTCCTAATCAAATCTAAATCATACAAGAAGGGTTCTCTCAAGGTTATTAAAACAAAGGTCCCCAAGGCGAGCAATTCTACCTGACCCAGCCCGACAGCCACTCCCCAGGCCCCAGCCCCCAGCCCAGCCCCGACAGCCACCCCCTCCCCCTGCATCGCCACCGAAAGCACCCTAAATTGAGTATATACTGACAGTCCGAAAATTAAATACACGATTAACACAATTGCAAAATTACACAATAATACTAGATTGTCAAAATCTAACCTTAGAGAGTTAGAGACTGCTTCAATGGAGGAGAGGAAGAAACAGAAAGTCAGAAGCCGCTTCAATGGAGAATTTCGAGTACACTCCACAAGACCACAAACCAAACCCTGCAACACATTAGCAACCAAAATTGACTCAATTATCAAACTAGACTCCAAAAATTATGTTTAATTCTTCGAGTATCTATAACCAATAGTTCAATTATCCAACTTCGAAGAACCCTAAATTAAGTATATAGTGATAATTAATTTATTAAATTAGGTCAATGATTAAAGAAAAAGAAGCATCTAACCTTCGAGACTACTTCAGTGGAGGAGAGAAAGCTCAGAAGCCCCTTCAATGGAGAGTTTCGAGTACGCTTCAAGCCTTCAACGGAGGAGAGAGAGAGGAAGCCGTGTTTGTGTACTGTGTTTTCTGGGAGGAGAGAGAGAGGAAGGAGTCAAGGAGTACCGTGAATAAACTAGGGGTGTTCAAAAAACCCGACCCGTTTGTCCCGTCCCGAATTCCCGATGACCCGTAAAAAACCCGACGGGAAATTTTCAAAATTTTTTAAGTTTATTTCAGGTTGGGTACCCGTCCCGGTAAAATAGCACTTTCGTGGGACGGGACATAGGACAAGCTTTGCAATTATCGAGTACCCGGATACCCGTTTAAAAAAAAAAAAGAATTTAACACTGCTGGATTTTATTTACTTTTTTTTTTTTTTAGATAAGGCAAGTAGTTTAAAGATTATAAAATATGAGCAATCTGATTTCAAATGATCATCCATAGTCGTCTTGATTTTTTTCACTGGCTATTGATGATCATGGTTGTGTTCAACATGTGTGTTTTCGTGTTTTTGGCCAAGAATTATAAGTACAAAAATGTTCACAGAAGTACGGCTGTAGGTGATTCTTGTAATGGTGAGAACACAGAGGAGATGGCTAGTGTTTAAAAACATGAGTATATTGCTGGCAGTCAGATAATGTAGTAAGTACAGATGAAGTAGAATTTTAATCTCTCCATATTTCTATACACATTTAGTAATTTGCTCTTCACTTTTATCGATTGTTTTTCTTAATTTTCAATGGTACAGTTCATGTTGTATATATAGCAGATTTTTTGTACAAAAATATAGCAGGTTTTAGGTACAAACTTATCTAAAAAAAAAGTAAATAAAATTCGGGTACCCGTGTCCCGTCCCGGATAATTCGGGCCGACTTATCAACTACCCGAAGATCCGGGTACCCGGATTTTCGGGTACCCAGATATGAACACCCCTAGTGAATATAGATCTAAATTTTTTAATTTCTTTTTCAAAAAAAATAGTGTCTGTGTCACCGGACCCACAATGACTACATGTGGGTCCGCCACTGATTGTATCTCAAAGTGACTTTCCGGTTTCAACCCAAGCACCGTGGTGGAGAAATAATCACTTTAGGAAAGTGTTTGCACGCCTTAGACGAGTATCAAGTATTGAAGACTCACGTGTTCCTTGATATTCTCATGTTTTTGTTGGTTTCGTTGGCATGGAGTAAGGCAAGTGTTCATCTTTCATATTTTTAGTTTAGTTTGTAATATCTCTGTATTTTTCATTCTAAACTCGTTAGTGCTTGGATTGTATGTGTAGCTAATTTTATTATACATAGTAATTTCTTCTTATTCCCACAAATTCGTAGTACTAGAATTTGTACTAGTAGGATTATTTCCTAACACTATCTCCTCTTTAATTAATTTTTCCTCCATTCTCACTTAGAAAAATCCTAGAGAAGATAATCAAGTAATTGAATGCAAATTCTCAATAATTCATTGACACTTTCTTTTTAATTCATTGTTTGTTGTATTTGCTTACAAGTTTTAATTGAATGCAATTAACATAATTAGGATTTTAATTAGTGATTCAAATTAGGGTTCATGGGTTCAAATAAATTTGGGGGTTTTGATTTCTAAGGTTTGGGGGTTCAATTGAGTTTTGGGTTTCACTTATTTTGATTTTGAGATTGAATTCAATTGCATTTTAATTACTAATTGGTCATTGTAATTGGTAGGATGTCTAATTCTTCATACCACTGTAATTAGTAGGATGTTTAATTACTAATTAGAGATGTTTAGAATGAAGGGAAATTAATTAGGGAGGATAAAGGAGGAGAGAAGGTAGTTGGGGGGTTAATTAGGTGGAAAAGTGAAAAAGTGGGGCCTAGTAACGTCTTATTTGGACGGAAAACGTTACTGGGTAGTGCTACCCAAACGTTTTATAACTTCCTGGTAGTTCAAAACAAACAAAAAAAACGGGTAGTTGTTCACAAATGACCTATCTATAGGGTAGTTCTAGACAATTTTTCCTTGAAATTACTCAATTTTTCTTTTTTGGATGCTTTTTTTTTTAATTTACACATTTATAAGCGTTGACGATCACCATTAAACCCAATAATCGATGTGAAAAATCTCTTTCATATTGTAATACATTCTCCCTCAACAATTACGTTTGTCCTTTTAGGCGTTCCCTTTTAATGGTTACAATTCAAGTATTTTTAATAGTATTCAATGCACGCATTGCGGGCAAACCTACATATTTATATACTTTAATTAATGGATGACATAAGTAGTTTGTGTACTTTGCATTCATTGTATTAAAATGTATTGATTGGGTGGTTTACATTCACATGGATTATACCAACTAAAGTTGAAAATAATGACAAAATATCATCATTTTTCATTGATCACTATCTTATTTTCCTTATTAACCGTGTAAAACTATCAAACACGGCCTTTTTTGGAAAAGAAAACCTATATTAGGACATTTTTATTTTCTACTTCTATAGGTGGAGCCTTAGCTCAAGCTTTTGGAGAGGAATTCACTACTCAAGAAATGCAAACTAGGATCACTTGAAGATGGGAAGAGAAGGAACTCGACTTCCATGCTTGTATGCTTGGACATACAATAAATAGTTTTAAATGCACAAAAAGCCCTCGATCAAAGTCATGGCTATAAAAATAAGGCTTCAAACACGAATAATGTTATAGCAAACCATCTTGAGCTTAATTATAGTTAAAATTTGAAAGTTAACCAAGAAGAGTACAAGAATGGATTGGTACACAAACTTGTTGGAAAAATCAATGTCAATTCTAATGGTAATGCTAGTTCACCCCAAACAATGCTACATGTGAATGAAAGTTTTGGATTTTGACACTATAAACCACCTTTGCTCAATTGTTGTGTATGCAAATACTAGCTTCGTCTAGATTGAGCAATTACCCAATAATATTGCATAGTTCAAATCAAATAAAACAACCGGTGATGCTTAACCCTTTCAACTGACAGTAAAGGTAATCCCAGAAGGATCTTGGCTAGATCTTGATCTTCTTTGCTGTTGGTAAGACGCCAACCTCTGATATAACCCAGTACTATATTGGTATGGATCAAAAGTTTTTATGCTTATACTTGTTTCCCTGCATTTCAAGCAGACTATCTGTATTTTGTTGTGATACATCAAATTAATTCACCCCCCAATTGACTTTGTTGTCCTGTCAATTCAAGCATAGACTATCCGTCTATTTACTGAAAGGCATCAAACTGGTTCACCCTTGTTGTTCAAGCATCTGCCAAAAAAATAAAAAAAATCTCGACCTTCTATTGAAAAATAAATAGAAAATACACATGCCAGATTATCTTAGTGAAAAGATAAATGAAAGAACATGTCAGATAAAATAAATACATCTATAAAATGTGAAGATAAAAAAAGTTGTATGAAAAAAGGGATGAAATCTCTACAGAGAGATGTGAGAACTGAGAAAAAAAAATAAAAAAATAACACTACTGTAACCATCTTGAAGAAGAAGTGGAATGTTAGAACAAAGTATACAGACTAGCAGATGCAGCACAGCAACAGTGTCATACTTGAAACAGATGATTTTGAAAGCATACATTCCAACTTGAATCTTTTGCCACATGATCTGCACTTCCGCCAGCATTGCTTGAGTCATGACATAGACTAGTTGTTCCCTTAGAAGGGGACCTTTGTACATCCTCTTGGCTGATGCTGTCTTTGTTGTGAACTAACATATTAGGGATGCATGCATTGTCCAGAATTTTATTGGAATCAGTATCCGCCACCTGTGGGGTTGTATATGATTCACACGGATTATTGCATTCATCAGCATCATTTTCTTCGTCAGAGAAGCATCTGCAGCAATCTAATTCATCCATATCAAATATACGGCTAGATAATCCTTCTCTCCATGATATCCTAACCTCAGACTCATGAAAATTACGAAGCAATGATTCAGGAATCCCAGGAGAAGCCTGACTATCCATGGCTTTTCGGAAATTGGCAAGGTCAATTGAATTGTCTGGTCTAATCAGCGGATTAAACTCAAAGCTCATCTTTGGTGAATCCACTGCGGGCATATCACATTCCGGAGATAAGCTAGTTCTTCTGAGAACTTCAGCCACTGAATCAAGTTCAGATTCAAACCAAAGTCTAGATATCTCATCCCTGCTCAAATGGGACAATCCAAAGCTTTCTGTACTTGAATCCGACTGTGGGGTTTGAATAACATTTCCACTACCTATTGAATCTTCAGAACGCGGGGTAGCTTCTTTTTCATGATCATGCCGATATTTGTCTTGTTTAGGTGAGACTGCAACCTTAGAACTCGGCACATAAAGAGGATAAGTTGGTGAAGGACTACGCACCAAATGATCAAATGAAGGCCCGAGGACACCTCGAAAGTCAGGGCTCCTACTCATACTACTATGAGAAATTGTAGTGGTTGCACTACTTGTTACTGTACAACTACTGCTATTGCACAACTCAGACGAAAAACCTAGACTCGACAAAGGTGAAGACGAACAACCAATTGAATTCGGAGAC